TCGGTGGAATTTATTATGATAGTCCATTTATAATTTATCGTGTACCCGATGAATACAAGTACTCGCATATTTGATATTGGTGTCAATATACACTACACTCGTTTATAAAAAGACAATTTTACAACAAATGATTTTATCTTAGAACAATTTCAATTTTAATTTCAGTGAAATTTAAAATTTAAAACTGTGTATAGGCATAATAAATATGCATTATATTATGTTTTATGTATGTTTACTGTGGTTTAACAAAAATATCGAAATATCGAAGTTTTCATTTTATATAAAAACGTAAACTTTAACTTTAATTTTAACTCGGTCGACGCTTAATGAATAGCAATATATTAATTTCACGAGGATATCTCCATGTTTTTAGAATGTTTTATAGTTTTGCCCTTTAATGCAACAAGAAATGTAATTTGAAATAGTATAAGATATACCTATATATTCAATTTATATTTTATCGTATTTGTGAAATTCGGGAAACTTTAATTCGTATAGGTACAATATTTGTTTTCATTTCTGAGCAATGTAAACAACCATTAACAATAATATATTATTTATTCTCTCGGTAAACACTTTTGGATTTATACAATATAATACATAAATAGTTTTGATTAGCTACTTATTTATTATTTCTACAGGGGGTTATTATTTCGAATTATCCCGCAGTCTGCTTCTCAAAAAATCACAACGAAATTAATTTGTTTCTTTACTCCTCTAGTTCTTTCATATATGTATACATAGCTATTTTAAATACCAAGTTGGTAATCTACCGAAAACCGGACTATTACATTTAATGATGTGGAGTAACCAGAGATACTCTAGGGCTGTAGTACCACACGAGCTTGATAAAACCGAGCTCAGCCACCCTTGGGCGTACTCATAGGACATGAAAAAAATCAATATTTATCAAATGCATCCTCAAAAAACTAATTTTATTTATAAAAAAATAATACAGAAAGTTAAGCTTTTTTTTCTTTTGATATTTATAGCGAAGAAAAAGTGTATATTTTTTTGTGATTTTTCACGATGCTATAGTTTTTCACTATTAAAATTTTATAACATAGAACAATAAATAACTATATTTTAGTAATTATTGTTTAACGAACAATTTAAGGAATTTAAAAATAGGAAATATTTGCTAAGATTTAAGTAAAACTGTAAACACGTTTATAAAATAGTGAGCTCTCCATGACATTTTCAAAACCTGGCACCTCTGCCGAGTATCTATGTGTACTCGTAGTTAATCCAGAGTATTTTCCTTGCGATCTTATATGATACACGATAGTACACGAAGAAGCGCTTGAAGAATTAATTATTGTCGGCAGTTTTAGTTTAATATAACACAACTATATGAATAAATGTCAATATTATGTCATAAACCGAATTATAATAATTTCCACTTTTCTTACCCATGCAATATAATATAAACTTTTGATTTAACGAAGTGTTTTCTACGAATAATTTTAAACTTTATTCATTGTTTTAATTAAATTACTAACTTATACATTTTAATTTGACTTTGAATATAAAAAGGGCCCCCTTTAATCATTCAACGTTGAATTCTTATGCACCGAGCATTGTAATGGCGAGTGTTTATCGAAGTAAATGTAAAGAATTTTTTTTGTTACAGACATTTTTAGAAAATTTCTGATTTTATTATCATTGAAAATTGTGATTAATATAAAATATACAAATATATTTATTTTTTTAAATATTAATCCAATTCGATGATGTTTCAATAGAGTTTTCAACTTTGTAATACAATATACCTATATTATATGTTATGATACACCGTTATTTTTACGTAAAAACTGATCCCTTCGAACTATACTCAAAAAAAACAAATATACTTATGCTTAAACCTGTAATTTATTCACTGTTAAGTCATTAATAATTTGAGGAAACTTAATAGTCTGCTAAATACTCAGTCAAATTAATAATATATTTAGAATTTATAAGAATTAAAAAACACTCTTGATTTAATTTTAATTGTATCTAATAATAAATCTATATTTAAAATATTTCATTATATAGCAGTTTTTTATTGTTATCATAAAAAGTACCCGTTTGCATTTTTTCGTTATTTTTAGAGAAATGTATACATAATAGAGTGGACAATTTTCGGTGTAAATTAGTCGTGAAATGTTAAAATTGAATAAAATAAAGTCTTTACAACCTAGTAATGAAAATTGAAAATTAACCGTTACATACTTTAATTGTCTACAATGTAAAAATTGCTTTAAATAATATTTTTTAAAAAAAAAAAACAAGACGGAAATAAAAATCAAGTTTAATATAATATTATTTAGCATAAAATGTTTAACATATATTTTAAACAAAGCGTCCACATATTTTTTATAATTATCAAGGAGATGAAACCTATAAATTATATAATTGTAAATTTAAGTTTGGTATACTTATATGTAAAATATGTAGTTGAATCGTCCGAATATCGTTTTATATTGTTCATAAATACAATTACTTTTTTTTATAGAAATCATTCACAAAATTATTTTTTCATCGAAAAATTGGTAGATCGATTTATATTATTTATTGTAATCTCAATGAATATAATTTAAATCAGCGAAAATTTCAAAACATTTTTAGAAAATTAACTGTTCCGTCAAAATAGCCATTTTGCAAAATAAATATTTAGAATATTTAAGAGGTTGAAACTTTTTTTAAAGTATAGTATTTTATTTTTTACGATTTTTTGAAGTTTTTGCAAATTTGAGTATTACAATATTTAATCAACTGTTATAGTAAAGGCAAATTACAAGGATTTTCTTTTCCGTGAGTTAATATCATGCAATGATATTATCATATTATAATTATAAATTAGTTTCAATCAATCAATCAATAATATTAATTTATGTTAATAAACAAAAAGCACACCCTATTGAAGAGAAATGTATTAAAATTATTTACTTTCATGATACATGCAATTAAATACTTATATCTTAGCTCCATATCATCAGATATAGCTTTCATGAGTTTTCGACATGATTCAATAATTTTGCTCCACTGTACGCTGTTATCTCTGTAACACCAAAATTTTGTTTCAAAGAGCTAGGATTTAGTTATCATTAGAAAAAAGTAAAAATTTAAAAATAATGAACAAAACAAACGTTCTTTTAGGTATAAGATATTTGTGTTACAGCTTGTTTATTAGATTTTTTTTTTATTATTTCTTTTTGTTTTTTTTTGTATATGTATAAATGTATTTTTAATTTGGAGTAACAATAAGTTTAGAAAACAGGCAATATTAAACAGTGATTTTTAAAATATTATACGAATATATTTTATCCCGGTGCAAAGGATGGGTCAAATTCGCAGTGAGGAATCAATGAACAAAATATAGGAAATTTCTAAGAAAATCTGTACAGAAAATCCAGGCATTTCTAAACGATCATTCTTGGCGATTCTCAGAAAATCATGCCATTGAACCGTGTAACAATATTAATATTAAATAGTACGATTAGTTGCACATCTAGCATTGTTTCATAGAATTTGGGCTTAAATATTATACGGAAAATATATTATCAAGATCTTTCCGTATAATATGTACGTATCCATGTATCATGTTATTAAAATGAATTTATTCGATAGAAACCGAAAAATTGTTTAAAAGGCAAGTATATTAAGCCCGGTCCACACTAAGGCAACATGCAACAACTTTTTAAGTCGAAGTATGTTGATGCAATAAAAATTCCTATATATTTCCAAAAGTTACTAAATGTTTCATCAATAATTTGTTGCAAGCAACAAACATTTCTCATTGTTTTGTGTTTCGATTGAAAGCGAAACATGTTACTACAAAACAAAATAAAAACAATATAATAAATTGGTAAATAGGCAACACGTAGCTACATGTTTATCAGTGTGGACTTAGCTTAGTCCAGCTGTTTATCAATGTTACTGTGGTTTTGTTGCCTAAATGTGTATGCTATATTTCCAATGTTGCGATTTGTTTTCACGTATTACGGAATAATAGGATATTATAGACAACTTGTATGTCATTCTATGTTGTCTTAGTGTGGACCGGACATTTGCTACATGCCTAATTGAAAAAAAAATCAATAATTTTACATTTTATAATTGATTTCAGTGTGGATACTATAGTTTAAGAAAAAAATACACTTAATTTTACTGGATTTATACTTTACATAGTTTTATAATAATAATTAAACAAAATAAATTTTAATGTATTTTTGATAATTTAGAAAAACGAAGGAATAAAAAAGTAATCATTTTATATTTCTCTAAATATTTTATTATGTCACTCTCGTGCAAAATTCGATTGAAAAAAAATTTGAATATTCACAGATATATTAAGTGAAATATCAGATATTCCCCTCAGAATTAAGAAAAAACATTGTAACAACCTGTGTAATTCCCGTTAGAAAAGTTTCGAGCTGCGCAAAGGTCAGTTTACAGAAAAAAAAAAAAAAAAAAAAATTGTATACATTCGAAGTTTTATGTGAATAATTTTTTTGGCTGTAATATTTGCGTTTTTATTTTTCATATGAAATATTATAATCGATATTTGAATCTAAATGGCTTTATGATTTATCAGAATTACGCTTTAATTATTACATTTTTTTTAATAATTCTAAATCATTTCGATTTAGACAAGTTCATTAAAGTATACAATATAATATATACATTTGTATATATATATATATTTTTTTTTGTCATAGATTTGAATTTAAATAATACCGTATTCTTATAAATTTGATATCCATGATGAAGCTTTACTAAAACCAATTGAACCTCAAATGTGTATTGTCCTTTAATGATCGAGTTAAGTAATAACGATTCGTTAAGTCAATTACTTGTTTTCTATTATAATATTAGGTGTGGTTTGGTGATGCAGTTTTGAGCAGCCTGGTTACTAGTTTAGTAAACTGTTTTAACGATACAGTTTACAGTTATTATTATTTGATAGTTGAATGCAAGTTTCGCCAACCAGGTTGTCGGAATTAGCAAACGATTGAAAACTACGTTTACTGTTTTCAGTCACTAAACATCTACTGATAAGGATTATAATTCAATAATCCATCAATTTTCTGTACTAAAAAATACTATACGGTAAACAAAACGTTTTGTCAAGTAACCCACCAAGTAGCAAACAACGCAGCAAACTGTTTATTGAAAGTTGCATTGCTATAATGCGCCTATTATTGTAATAAGAATTACATTTCGAATAATAGTATTATATCAATGATATTGTAATATATTGTATTATTAAATCTAACGGTTTAACTGTAGAGTTATAAAGGACCGTGAATTGGGGAATGATGTGCATTTTTACCGGACATTATCAAAGAGTTTAAACACACATTTTTATAAAATAACAATTAATAGTGTAATGTTAAATTTTGCAGTTCATCAGTCTTCAAAGATTTCCGATAAAACTAATGAAAAATATTGACAAATATTCCGAGCGAGTATTGTAATTTTAATGGAAACCTAAAATTTCCTTTGGAAATTATATATACCATGGAAGTATAATTATAAAATATTCCTTAGATTTTACGATAACATGTTAATTATTTATCCCATTATAGATACTACGGTTTCACACCTACCTGTGATAAGATCGTTATAAAATAGCGATCTAATTAAATCTCCTGGTATCTAAATTCTTAGTTAGAGTTTGTTTGACGGGCTTATAGAATTTCGAGCTGAGAAATTGCGCGCAATTGATATAATACTAGTAAAATATAAACCCGCGTGTAGCGGAACGCGTCAAGTTTCTCATAGATTGGCGGATTCAGTAGCTAGACACTTGATCGTGGGTCGATGAGCAACTATTGGTATCGATTACAGGGGCGTTATTTTAGTTTTTCAATAGGGATGCAAACATTTGAATCGGGCCAATTTTTCAGAAAATTTTACTAGGAAGGTAATTTAAAGAAGTTGTTTTTTCATTTTCTCCAGAGTAAATGTGAAAAACTGGGATAAAACATAGGAAAACCGGAAAAACCATAGAAAAACTAGGAAAATCGGTACAGCATTAAACAAATATTATTAAAGAAAATATATAAAGCATATTTAATTATTTTACTATAAAGTGACATGTTATATATTGTTGACAAAGAATCACTATCAACTGAACTCCACTCAGAATCATTTTATAGGTTTGTTACAATACAGTAACATTTTTACTAATTAAATTACGGTAATACTTAATTTTTTCATTTACAACGATTTACTCTATATGATGTCGTTTCAATGAGCACTGTTATCTCGCTAATATGCTTGTTTATTTAGACATGATAAAAATAAACAGTTGACAATTAACCGTGGTTAAAATCCCCCGTGTCTCATTCGTGCATCTCAGACCGTCGAATCCCTGTAGAGACGACCATTGGCAGCGGTTCGATTACAATTTGTATTTCCCATTTTATCAACAAAGGCGTAATTATTTTTGGGAACCGAAAAACATTTTAAAATATAGATTTGTGAAAGTAAAGTCCGAATCCCTCAAATGACGCCCCTGATCAATTATTCACAATTGCAACAAACATATATTTAATATTACTTATATAAATATATAATATAGGTAGATAAACCTTTATTCTATAAGTAAATTTCAGGTGAATTTTATTAATTAATCCATGAAATTTAATGTGTAATTATCTTTGTGATAAATATATATGATTATAATTGTATGGATTAATACGATTCGCCTCCTGAGTATATGACTACCGAATTTGTACTTAATATCTCATTATAGGAGGATACATCATAAAGCATCATGCAGTTTTTCTCCTATGACAGTCATTTTCAATTTTTTACTAATCGTGTCATCCATATATATATTTTTTTTTTGTGAGACCAATCCTTCAACAATTGTTTAAAAGAACTTTAATAGGGCAATACACAATATGTAAGATACTTATGTTTATTGTTATCTCCCCCCCAATTATCCCTCACAACTCTTTGGCGGGCCTTGGTCTCCCGGTTAAAAACTACTGTCCTGTGTAATGTTGTAATATTGGAATGTTTGACTGTTTAAGAATATCTTCTATGATTTTTTTCCCTCGTTGTCGGACGTACGGGAGAAGAACTGGCCGTTTCAACGCATAATTGAGCTATCTAGACTTTTCACATAGTCATTCACTAGTCCATATTTTCGAGATAATATTAAATAAATAAAGAAATAATCCATACGTTAAATTAATTTTGTTTATGATCAATAATACAGATGCTCTTATATAAACTGACGTATTATTCGATGTTTTATTTGAGACAATATGAAATAATTGTCGATACATTTTTCAGTCGTAGTAACGAATCGTAGTTTTCAAAGCGAATTTATTTGTCCACTGTTATATAATCCGCAGTAGGTATCTATATACAGATTTATTTACATTTTAATTAGACGAAACGGGTCGGATAAAACTTTTTCTTCTATTTACCATTGTAAATAACTAGGTATTGTGCCGTGTAATCAGTTTTTATTTTTTTCATTTTTCATTCTAGATTATCGATGTTGTTTATAGTTCTATTTATTTATACGTTGAAACAGTTTAAATTCGTTTTTTATACGGGCGTGTAAGCAGAGTGTACTTTTTTTTCCATTATTCAAATATATAGTGCAGTAGAATATTATATTATTTTCGTAGCAGTATTATATTCGAGCAGCCCATCGCGTTATTATTTTCGGCCCGTAGATAATAATTTTAAATAAAACGAGTACAAGTGACAAATTATAAATTATTTTTTGTGGGATAGAACGTAACACCGTGGAATGCATCATTTCGTTTAATTTAAGCTATACTATTATAACAGCAACATGTAGTGGTTTTATACCAGTGGTTCCGTCGGCGCCCTGTCATCGGCGGTCCATTGCACCAAAACCTTTTTCAACGTTTTTTTTTTTTTTTTTTAAGAGACGACAGGCGTGTCCTAAGCGGGAAGTCAACAAATTAGGAAACATAATGGTATTTAATTTATAACTGAATGCATCAGTTCATCATTACTGACGAAATACGATTCTGAGCGAAGTTCGGGTAAACATTTTTCGAAAGACCAACATTTTTTTTCACGGTTTTTGTTAAATACGAACCGTCTTGCGTCGTACCACCACACAAATGATGTATGTCCGGTATTATTCCGGAAGATAAATGGCCGTATGATTCCCGGATTGTATCGACGAGAAAAGTATTTGTTCAGAATCTAAAAATTAAAAACCGAATTCGTCCAGTCTGTACATAACTGGAACGATAAATAACCATATTTGTTCATCCTAAAAGTATTTATCCGCACTGTAATTGGTTTTCGAAGTAATATTTCAATATGTCTTCAAAGAGTAGGTTGTTTTAGTATATTGTTTTGCTTATTAAATTTTCGCGGAAGAAACATAATCACCGTAGATAATTATTCAGTATGAGATAATTATTTTCATATTCAATATAAATATTATTATTAACTCTTTTTAACAGGTTGAATTAATCGATAGATTAGATAAGTCGACAGTTGACTAAACTTCAGTTTTCTTTTGTCCAATCATCGGTTTTAATTTAATCGAAATATTCGTATGTTCAGAGTCTCCGCGATTCATATACTACATACAAAAAAAAAAAAAAAAAATGTCACTACCTATCGGTTATTTCGGGGGTATAATAATATGATATCTTCGCGAGGAACTATAATATGCACGCGACGAGTAGTTAGAAATTAAATTCTCCAATTGAATAATAATAATGTTCTATGAATATGTTTTTGGCGTGTCGTTCGTTTTAAACCGTTAAATATTTTACTCTCGTATAGGTACGAACGCGTATTTTTCATAGAATAGTAAAAGAAAGAGAAAAAATTAAATTTGTATTTGTATATAAACGACCCTTTCGGTCGTTTAAAAGGTTTATTATTATTTTTAAATAATAACGTCGAACATATTGTATACCTAGGTATAGACGTTCACGGTCGCACCGCGGGTTATACGGCAAATGGCATGTTACCTTCGTAAAAAATACGATAATTATTGTATTATTGAAAGTACATAGGGTGGTCAATAGTCCTGAGAGCGCCTTTAGAGTTTCTATTTTCTAGTCGAAACCCCGTGAACGAGGTGCATCCTTACAAAGAAATAGAAATATTGCGGGCGGGTTTTCGTACGCAGCACAATACGTACACCGTACCTATATATAAGTACATATAATACGTTTTGTGGATTTTTGTTAATTTTCAAGACATTATAACGCGTATACGATAATCGTATTTATCAGCAAAGAGGAGGGGGCTGCGCGGGTATCTATTATACGTATATAAGTGAGTGAGCTTATTACGTGTTTTTCTTTTTTTTAATTCCGTGTACAATTTCACCAGAAAACGTCCGTCGTTAATTATAACTTTTGGAGTTTAAATTATATACGTCTTAACGGTTTATTTTTTTTCTTTTATTAAAAAGGTGCTCTGTTTTTTTATCCTTCTATCTATTGGACGTTCGGATTTTATATAGGTATTATTATTATTATTGCACAATTTTACAGCGGTTTTTTTTTTCACTGGCTATTTGAAACTTTGTTTTATTTTACAAAGTTTTATTCATGGAAAAAAAAAATTAAAAAAATAGTATCTCGTTAATTTATTTAATATTAATTATCGTTCGCTGATGTTTTATGATTATAGCGTTTGGTGTTCAAATTATTATATGAAACTCGCGGTACCCACTTGCGAAAACCGCGCTATTTAAAACAGTAAACGGTAATCTCAATAACAGATCGTTATTATTTAAACCGAAATTATCAAACTAATTTTTTACGATCTCGTACATGGAAAAGGAGAAGGTAAAAATCATGTTTAAATAGTTTGTATAACATTTTTCCAACGAATGGTTAAAACAAATAAAGTATTGAGAATATTATACTAAAGTAATTAATTATAGAACATTTTTTATACGCAAGCAACTTTTATCGGATAAAATGCAATTCAGAGAAATTTATTGCTGCAGCTATGCTTACAGATTTTACTCGAATAAAATTTCAATTTTTTTTTTCTTAGACAAACTATTAAAAACCCAAATATTAGGTATGTACCTAATATTTGTAAATTATAAATATTAATAAAAAAAAATCGTAATTGCGAATAAAAATATTCATATCTCCCTGTATAATATGCATCATATTTATATTTTAAAGTTTTCAATTCTTTTATATTGTACCCGATAGATAACGTAATTATCTTGTATATTATCTCTCGAAGGTTTTTTTTTTTTTGCTCTTTTGATAAAACTCTCTTTTCTCCCTTTATATATACTTAACTGAAATCGATAAATAAGGTGCCGTTTTAAATATTGAGTTCCCTGTTTCTGACGAATCTTTAATATTCACATTGTAAAATGGGTTTTTCTTTCCAGAAAATACGTTTTCGGTTAGTA